ACACCCCAATAACACCCATCTGATTTACCACCTTCACACCCCAATAACACCCATCTGATTTATCACCTTCACCCCTGGGTCCCATCCCTCCCTCCCCCAGCTCAGGTTTCCCCCTGACACAGCAGCACCCACACACTACACAGCTCATCACAAATTCCCCACCAGACACGTCCAGCAGGAGCATTTTTTTTTTATTTTATTTCCTTCTCCTCACCTTCTTTTGCCACAAAAAAACATCCCAAACCCTGCATTGACAAAGGGAAAATCACAGCCAGTGCAAACCTGGGCCCTCTGTGCCCGTGTCAATAAAAATCAGTCTCTCTGTCACACACTAAACATATTAAACCATAAAATCATATTCTTCCTTAAGAGCAAACCATTATAAATTGGCTTTTGGAACAATTTGATACTCCCCAAAGACAGAGGATGTACAGAAAGCTTCTGTCTGAGGAGGAAAATGGGGAAATTATTTTTCTCAATGCTTTCTGTCCTTTCACCAGAGAAGACAAAACTTCTTTTCATCAGGAAAATGCATTTAGACACATTTCCCTCAGTGTTAAACAGCCCTTCTCCCTCCAGCTGAGCACAACCAGTCACTGAGGTGAATATTCTCGTTCTCCTTCTGTTCTTTGCGGGCATTTGGGAACAAAATCCAGGCAAAAAAGCATTAATTTCATTTAAAATCTCATGGGAACCTGAAGGATTTCATTTCAATCAAAGCTTAATAAGCAAGACTTGAGCCAAGTGACAATTCAGTTCAAAAAGCCAAAGTAATGGGACATTTTACAAGACCTGATCACTTGTGTGTAAGTGATTCATTTTGCTTTTATTTATCACAATTTTTGTTGGTTATAAACTGCTGTACCTATAAATCAGATCAGGGGATTTACAGAACAGGGGAAAAAAGGAAAACAGGGCAAAAAATGAACTGGAAAAAGGTAAAATCCAATAAACACAAGGTTTCTATAACAGTTCTGTAAGGAAAAAAATCCCACCTCTAAAAATCTACTTCCAAAAGCAGGAAGTTTGGATAATGCTCCACACATGAAATTCCAGTTGGAGATTCTCTAGAAAATGTCCTGTTATGCAAAAGTTTTCCTCTGCAAATTCCACTAAAAATAATTCAATGGACTTGGGGAAACTCCCCCTCAAGCTCTGCCACAGCCCCCAAGTCACCACACACAAACTTCAGGCTTCCCTCACAAATTATAAGGTACTAAAATTAAAAATCAAAATAAAAAACCCTCCAAGCCCCCTTCAGTTTTTCAATCATTGCAAAAATCCTCGATAGATGTTCCAGAAAATGTCTATGGACAAAAGGAAAGGAAAGGAAAGCCACATCCTGCAGGTAGATTTTGGCATTGGCAGCATTTTCTCTTTATCAGCTGTAAAATGTCAATTTTTAACGGCTGACAGCAGAGCTCTGGAAATTTGTAAAGCAGACATTGATGTTTTTATCTTTTCAAAGCCTCGGGAATAAAGTTTTCCCTGAAGATCAAAATATTTCAATTATTCCAGGTGATAAGAGGCACAAGAGGGTGTTTTGTTACGGAGAAGTGAAGGTTCCAGGGAGAGCTCAGAGCCTAAAGGGGCTCCAG